ATAATAATAATAATAAGAAACGTTTAATTATAGGTCGACTATCTGTATTAAGCACGCAAACTAATCAAACTTTGACCAGTGCAAGCATGAAGGATGTCAGCGATTTCAACATACCAAATCTTATGGATTTGGCACCTTTAAGGTAACTTTTTTTGGCATATTTGAAAGAAGTAAGATTTTTTTATATTTGAATTTTAATTTGCAGCAATACAACTGAAACTAATAGCAGCTCTGTGGTAATCAAATCAATTATCACTAGTATTTCACATGAAAAGACCAATGGCGAAACGGAGACAGTTACAACAAAGACAACGCAACGCGAAGAAAGTCAATTCTAAGCCCAATTTTTTAAACTGACTCCGAAAATTAATACTATAATTCGAAATTCAGCAAGGCGATATAGCGATTTAAAATAATTAATACTATATATTTAAGTTTTGTATCGTCTTACATTGCAATATCTTCTATTTTAATTTTAGCATTCTTGTTTCTTTAATTAAGGCACTTTCCGAACAATCCCAATCAATGAATTATTCTAACTTTGCATCTATCATTTTAAATATAAGTTTTTATTTAAAGATTTTTCCCAAAATCTTACCACATATTTTCACTAGAACTGCACTGAACCACAAACGCATCCATGTAGCGCAATAACTTAATTCTTACATATATATATTTTTTAAACATTGAATATTAACAAAAAATACATAAGTACAACTAAAAGATTGCCTTACTTACAAACAATACGAATAATTTTTAAACTAGTTTTGGGATGTAATAGTTATTTATGTCTCTTTGCGAGTAATGACACTAATCGAATTTCATTTCACGTTAAAATATTTTTAAAAACATTTCAATCTGCAACACGCTTGTACTTTCTTACTAACTATAAAGTATTATTAAATTAATGTATCCCGACATGCTTTGGAGCAACAGCAGGTATTCTACTATTAAACGTAAATTTCTTCCATTACCTGTTACATTTAAAACAAAAGAAGAAACACCAAACCAGATAAAGAAAATTAACGAAGTACTACTTTTACTGTTGTTACTATTATTACAAAAATTTATAAAGTAAAACTGTTGGCATTTAACTGACATGTACACACGCTATTGAGTAAGCTGTTGATGTACGCTATTTAAATATACACAATTCATTTATAAAATATATACATACACACTGTATTTAAAGAGTTTTTAAACTCGAACTTTTTTATATTTTACATTGTGGAGTATTTTTGGACTATTTGTATAGAAAATTTACAAATGTATAAAATATTTGATGATATAATTAATACTGTTATCGAAAATTGTTAATTTTCAGAAAATATTTTCAATAAAAATGTAAAGATTTGCCGCTAATATATCTTTTGCAATACGTTAAACCTTTTGAGAAATAACACTACAAAGCTTTTCGATTATTAATTTAAAAAAAATATATATGTTATTTCTCTGCTTTTATTGAAGGTATTATGCTTCCTTATAGGTAAAGTGACATAAAAGTAATAAAAACGTCAACTTCGGTTGTACCGATCTGAATCTGAATTTGTTCGGAGATTCTACCCTTGCCTTAAACAATAATCGGTACCAAATTTGAAAAGATCTTTTCAAATGAAAAAATTTTCCGGACTGGATTTTGATCGATCAGTTTATATAACAAATATATGTTACAGTCCTCAGTGGTTCCACAAAAGAGAGGCTTCTGGAGAAAAATACTACATGTGCAAAATTTCAGATCGATATTTCAAAAACTGAGTGACTAGTATGCGCTTCTAAAGCCAGACGTGTACAACGTTTCCTTCTGGTTGTTAAAAACTTCGTCGCAAATATTATATACCTTACATATATTGATACTATCAATTTAATAGTATAATAAATACTAAAATTTAGGTTCCATGACGGTATGTATTTGTTTCTGAATCATAATCTTTTCTGTCAATACGGCTTGCGAGTACTCGATTACATTTTTCAATTATTCCAGTTGAGACCGATTTCGTAAAATTTTTTTACTAAATCTTAAAATATACCTTAAATTTTTCCAATTTTAACACAATTATATTCGATTAGGAAAAAAGGCATTTTTTTAAAGTGAATGCAACTCTGGTTAAGAAAAACATGTAATATGGAACTCTGGCCTCTTATTTCACAAGATTTCGTAGTTTATTAAAAATATACATTTCACAAAACGTAATAACATTTTTTTATAAAACGTTTTAATTTTTAGTTATACACCGAGTAGGCATAGTTTGTAGTAATAGAGTAAGAGCATAAAATTATTTGTAAAAGAAACAAAATGGATTCACAAAAAACGCAACGAAATGCATGGGGCATAACTTCAACCAAACCAACAGAAACAATGAGCTTCGCTGAAATAATGTCTGAAGAATATGCACATCGTGTACATAATCAAGAACAAAAACGTTTTGAAGAACGTTTATTACAACAGGCGAAGCAAGAATCCACTGATGCAAATATAGCTGCATCAATAAATACTCAACCTCAACATTACTCTACAATTGCAAATGGGCACCCAACAATTAATCAAGAAAAACTATCCCAAGACGGTGGGTGGGAAGATTATTCTACATTATTGGCTGCTTCACAAGAAGACACCATAGGATGTGATTCTGACGCCGTTATAGCTCAAATGCTCCAATCACAATTTGATCATGAATATAATGAAGAATTGCGACGAATTGAGAATAAACAGAACAAGGATAGTAAGGTGACGGTAACATTGGATAAGTTTCGTCGTAATGGGGATCTAGAATTTTTAAATGATTCCGATGACTCTTTGGAAATTGACGATGAGGCAAGTGGACATAAGCGGGATTGGGATCGTTTTGAAACGAACGAGAAAATATTAGACGCAATACCAAAATGTGGATTTAAAGTGGACAAAGAGGGCGAAATGATAACCAAACATGATCCTCAACTGTGTGGAGTTCGTAATGCTTGTAGAGTTATGTCATTTCCTCCTGAGTTTCCAACGGGTGATGGCGCTGGATTTGACATGAAACTTTCCAATCAAGTAAGAAAGTCGTCAATGCTAACCGTTTTCAATTTTTTCAGTACATATACACATTTTTGTTTATAGGTTTTTAACCAACTGAAGACATATTCCCGTCGAGGTAATAAGAAAAATAAAATGCACGATCGCAAAGCTAATGTGGCCACAGCAGAAATGGGTGTCGACGCACCTACTCGCCTGTTACTCTATAAATTAATAAACAATCAAATATTGGAGCAAATAAACGGTATTATATCAACTGGCAAAGAAGCAGTGATCTTACATGCAAATTCTGATCCCACCTATGCAGATAATGCAAGCGGCAATGGTGGAACAATATGTTCCCCGCATTTATTACCAAAAGAGTGTGCTATAAAAATTTTTAAAACCACATTAAATGAATTTAAGCAACGAGATAGATATATCAAGGATGATTACCGTTTTAAGGATCGTTTTAGCAAACAAAATAATCGAGTTATTATAAATATGTGGGCTGAAAAGGAAATGCATAATATAATGCGAATGCAAAGTGTCGGTATTAATTGCCCAGATGTGGTCATTTTGAAGAAACATGTTTTGGTAATGTCTTTCATTGGCGATAACCATAATGCCGCCCCAAAACTTAAGGATGCACGCTTAAGTCAATCTGAACTATCTGTTGCCTACGAAGAAATCGTTGCAACCATGTACAAGTTATATAACGAAGCAAAGTTAATACATGCCGATCTGAGCGAATACAATATACTTTGGTACGATGACAAATGTTGGATTATCGACGTAGCACAGTCAGTTGAACCGGAACACCCAAGTGCTTTAGAATTTCTAATGCGCGATTGTGGCAATATAATAAATGTAAGTTTACCATTTATCTATATTTCCTCATATATATTTTGTCGTGCATATTATTATTATTAGTAATTATGTGTGTTTTAAATTTTTCTTTAGTTCTTCGAAAAACGCGGTTTGCCGAATATTTATACGAAGGAACAACTTTTTGAATATATTACATCGTTAAACGCCGAGACACATAATGCTGCCATGTTAGAACGTATTCATACTCGTGGTGCCTCGATAGCTCAAGCCACAGCTCCTTCCCAAGAATTATGTCCAGATGAACTGAAACCTCTTGCTTATCCATTTGACTTAGCTTGGGAAAAATCGCAACGCGAGCGGCAACAACAAGCGTCAAAAGGATTTGAAAGTGAATTGTGTAATTCAAATGTCGATAAAGCCGCTTGTGGATTTGAGGTTTTAAAAATAAACACTATTGGTGTAGAACAAGCAAATAAGTTGTAAGAGGATGTAGCGCACAATAAAACAATAGCGTTTATGAGAAAAAAGCCGTATCTAGTAGAATTCTTTATGAAACGATTTTCTTCGATTATTATCGAAGATGAATATTAGAAATACAGAAACTTCTGCTTTTTTTTCTAAACAAAATTCTAATTTTTGGGAACTGCATAAAAGTTTATTATCTGGAAAGAAATAATTGAAGTCACAGAAAGTAAACAATAAAATGACATATATATACTATGCAATAAATTAAACTAATTTCAATTAATTGCTAATTTTGATAATTATGCTTTTACATATTCAGAAAGTTACATTTAGTTAAATTCATATATTGTTGGTCACATGGAGATCAAGAAGAAACGAAAGCAAAATATTATTTTCTACATTGAATGCTGTGTAACTGTAGTCGTTAACAAAAATGTCGAAAACTGTTCCATTAGCTTTTTCGTGTAGTCGTTCTTGGTAAAAGTGTTTGTCCTTTATAAATCGAATAAATTCATTATCACATTGGATTCCCAAATCCTTTGTGCATTGGCACCATGGTACAATCCTCTACCGTGATTGGCACTATTGGCATTGTTTCGTACACTTTTATTCAGACTTATTTTCGCTAACATTAGTCCCCTGATCATTGTTACGTGTGTAGAATTTCTTAATTGATCAACTCTCTAGGAGGTGGAACATTTGGAATTCGACCCGGCGTAAAAGTGTCAGCTTTGAATGCTTCAATGTCTTCAGAAGTAAGATCCTCCAATTTGCTATAGACAGAGCTACTTACCACTGGCGATTGTAAAAGAGGCAACGAAGAGTTATTAACTCCCATGGGCTGTGCAAACGCTGCATTCTGATTTGTTATTTGCTGTGATTGACTATTTTGTTGGAAAAAGGCTGGTGCTGGTTGCATTGTTGTTGAGGTTTGGTTTGTTTGTGAAAACATATTTGGAGGAGGCTGTTGTTGTTGTTGTATAGCTTGGGCGAATACGTTTTGTGGGTTTTTAAACATACCATTTGTATCTGTTGTAGTGACCGGTTGTGCAAATAAATTATTAGGATTATGCCCAGGTGTATTTGCAGCTATTTGACCAAACATTCCTCCTGAGCTCTGTTGTGCATAAACATTTTGTTGTCCAAAAACAGAAGATGTTTGAGGTTTATTGGTCTGATACATTGGGAATCCGGATCCTGATTGTGTTTGCTGTGATTGCATTGCTTGCGCAAATACATTTGTTCCATTGTGTTGTTGCTGCTGCTGCTGATGAATACTTTGATTAAACAAATTGCCTCCTGTTGCTGTTTGAGTTGGATTTTGTTGTCCAAATAGAGACCCTGATTGTGGTTGTTGTGCATGTTGAGCAAATAATCCAATGGCTGCAGGTTGCGGTTGTTGCTGTTGTGACGCTGTTTGAGCAAATACATTACCAGTTGGTTGTGGTGTTTGTCCGAAAAGTCCACCAATAATTCCGGTATTTGTTTGAGTTTGCCCGAATAAACTTCCTTGTGTGCCCCCACCTCCAAACAAAGAGGCCGGTTTTTGTAACTGTTGTGAAAAAATCGAAGACTGCTGGTTTTGCGAACTGAAGGCTAAACCACCTCCCCCAAAAATACTTCCACCCTGCGTGGGAGTTTGTCCGACAGTAGTAGTAGTATTATTGCCAAAAGCTCCACCAAAATTATTACCACTTAAAGGCTTGTTGAATATTGAGGTGGTATCGTTGACAACATTACCTCCAAGTCCGAAAGGGTTATTAACATTACTTTTTGTTAATCCTGCGATAGCGTTACCATCAGCAGGAGTATCGTAAAGACGGCAAATAACATCTATAACAGCTGGAGATAATTGCAACATGGTTTTCATCTTATTATTTGCTTCCATCACTTCCTTGGAGAAATGCTGGATATATTGATCCACACAATTCTTTTGTTTTGCTTCATAACATAGCCAACGAATCTCTTCGAAGGATTGATCTTCTATGAAACTTGGTATACAGGGTTTATCTTTAAAGGGTCCAAAACAAGATATTGGCCATTGCTTTCCATTAATTGCAGCTTCTAAATCGGTTTTCACAAGTTGTCTAGATAATGGTAAATATATTACATTTACAACACACATAAATACAATGAAATTTAAATTTTATTTTATTGAATTGTATTCGTACTTGATGTCCAAGTGTTCATTATTGCATTTAGTCCCAAATCTGCAGCTACCTTGGAGAAAAAACCTACAAAGAACCATCCTTTTAGCTTTAAATTCTGTCTGCTATTTAATTTATAATATTTGTTATGATTCTGGGTTTGTCAGTTGACTACCATGTATAATCGGAAAATCGATAATAAATATCGAAACGGTTAGTGGTTAATTTCATTTTATTTGCTATAACCAGATTTTTAGAAAATTCTTTCTTTCAAATTCTTAAAATTGCTTAATATTTGCTATACAATTTCTTAAATCGATGAAAATAAAGCTAGTATCTGATAATGAACCAATTAAATCCTCCATTGATTGGCATACATTTGTTTGCCTTCAAAATATCGAGTGTAGTCGATTTTCTGTATACACTACCTATTTTTCTATGTTTTCAAAATATTTGTGTTTACAGAAAAAGTTAAATGATTTCCACTTATAAGGATTTTCACCGTTGCAAAGTTATTGATTGCAAGCAGGGTGCGGTGCGAGCAGTACGCTATAATGGTTTGTTGAACCTATAAATAATTCTTTCATCGATTAAGCGTTTTTTTTTTTTAAATTGCAGTTGATGGTTCATATGTCTTAAGTTGTGGATCAGATAAGAAGATCAAATTGTGGAATCCTAAAACAGGGTTACTTCTTAAAACATATGGCGGTCACGCAGATGAGGTTACAGATGCCTCAGGCAGTTGCGACAGTTGTTATATCGTTTCATCAAGTCTTGATAAAAGTATAATCTATTGGGATGTATCCACCGGTGTACCAGTACGTCGGTTGCGAGGTCACGCTGGCGGAGTAAGATGTGTCTGTTTTAATGAAGACTCTTCCATTGCAATATCTGGCGGACGTGATAATGCGGTTTTCTGTTGGGACATACGAACACGACGATTAGAACCCGTTCAAGTTATGAAAGATGCACGAGATTGCATTACAACAGTTCAAACTAATGAACACAAAATAATAACATCATCTTTGGATGGATGTATCCGTCAATATGACATACGTGTAGGTGAATTAGTGTGTGATAAAATCGGGGAGCCCATAACATTTTTAAAACTAACCCGTGACGAACAATGTATTGTAGCGGCATGTCAAGATAGCACAGTTCGTCTTATCGACTGCGATACTGGTAGTCTTTTGTCTGAATATAAAGGTCACAAGGCAGAAGATTTCCACATAGAATGTGGTATTATGGCTAATGATGCTCACATTGTCTCAGGAACTAGCGAGGGATGTGCAGTAGTTTGGGATCTGCTTGATGGAAAAATTTTACAACGTATTCAATTAAGTAGGTATTTTTAAATATTTTATATATTGACGAAACTAAAGTATCTTTGATTTAGGTGAAAATGGAGGAGTTGTTAATTCACTAAACACACATCCCAAAGAAAATGAAATCGTGTTAACGCGACGTCGAGATTTATATGTCTACAATACAGATGTTAATGAAGATGATATCGATAATGCAACCTCATAACACCATATTTACTACTTTCCTACTTTATATATTGTATTTTTTTACTTAATGGTAAAGATATATGTAATAAAATCATACTATTTAAATTGTGTTAATAATATGTATTAAATTTATTTTTACTTAAAAGCTAACATAAATATTTACACTTTTTTTCTTTTATGTATTTTGTATTGAAATTCATTTGTAATTTTCCATTAATACCTCAATATTTTCCTGAATATACGATTGGATATCCTGTTGGTCATTTATTGAGTTTTCTACTGCACTTACTTCACATTTTAAATTTTCTGTTTGAGCCTCTAGGTCATCACATTCCCTAAAATAAGATATGTGGTTAAATGTTATAAAAAATATATACTTTTTACACTTTACTTGGTTTTGGCCATTATTGATGTGTGAAGTTTTTGTTTTTCCTCATCAAATTGATGTTGTTCAAGTTTAATTTTTTCCTGCAAGCATTCTAAAGTTTTTTGGTGTTGAATGTTTGTTTGCGTTAGTTGTACTCTTTCTTTTTCACAACTTGCAATCTTTGTTTCAGCAGATAAAAGATTATTCACAGAGTTGTTGAAACTATCTACAAAATCTGATGTTAAGACATCTTTAGCAGATTCAACTAGTTTTAGTATCTCCTGTAGTCTGTTGTTGTCCGAAATATGCGTTTTTAGATTGCTTTCGGCATTCCGAGTCTGATTTTCGTATTCCGTTATTTGTTCTTGGATTTTATTTAATTGTCTGTAAATTATATAAATTTAATTGCAATTATCTTTACATATTCTATTATTACATTTGTAATTCCTGTCCTTCTTCTTCAGGAACAATAAGACGTTTCAGATTTCGTACTTTTGCTTTGAGTTCGTCTATTTTTGTTTTCAAGTCCTTTACATCAATAGTTATTTGTTGTGACTCATTTTCGCGTCGATTTAATTCAGAAGTAACTGATTTTAATTGATTCTTATGCAGCGGAATTTGATTGGAAAGAAAAGCTAGCTCTTCGTGCATCTAAAAATAATGCCATTACCATTAGACTATATTTGGAATGTTCATTTACCTTTTCTGCCTTGTTCTGTCTTTTCCGATTATCTTCAATTATATGCTTAATTTTGTCCACCAATTCCTGCCGTTCTGCTAATCTATCATTAGCCATTTTAAAAACATCGGTTTTAAACATGTTCATATAATAAAGGTAATTAAGAAGAATTCCCAACATATGTGACGTTTTCTTGGTAGCTTCAAAATAATGAGGAAGCATAAATAAATAATTACATTATCATCTTTGAATTATTGCCTTACATGGTTTGAGCAAGTCATAGTATGTGAACGTAAATGATTTGTCGCTAATTTTATAAATATGGTCAATGTGTCGTACTAATTTTATCAAGAATATTCTCTTCTCCCGTGACCCTTCTTCAGAGCATGGTATTTCTACTCGATATCCAAACATCCTTAAATAGCTTACCAGGACTTTGGTAAGCCACTTTTCCGAAGGATTCGCCAAATCCGATTCAACCATTTTGCATTCAGCACATAACTCATTCCAACTGTCGAGATATTCTTTTGAAAGCATTTTGTCTCTTTAATAAAAATTGCTTTCAATGAAATAATTTAATAAACTATTCGAACAAGCGGGAAACTAGTTTGTTACTTTTTAAATTTTGTATTCAGAGAAAAGTAAACAAAGGAACGCATCACAAAGGGCATCATATGATTTAAAATTGAAAATGAATAACTGTCGTTGTATGATAAAAAAAAAAATAAAAATGTAATTGTCAATCTTTTTACAATAATGTGAATTAATAATTTCCTTATGCCCATGATGCTAGTGCTGCGTATTTTCTTAGTTTGTATAATAATTGTATTATTATGTAAGCTTTTATAAAATAAAATAAAAAAAATAAAAAAAAAAAAAATTTCCTTTCAAATATACGGAAAAAAAATGTAGAAAAACTTGTTAAAATTTACAAAGATATTAAAACATTTCAAGACATAAATTGTCAACTTTGGCCAATTTACTATCGATTATTAGTCTGGAAATGACAATTGCAAGCTATCAAAAATTTCTATCTCAAATTGGCGTCATTATTGTGGGTTATCTATGATACCAAAACCACCAATGGGTAGTATAAATTAGCGTCGAGATTAACTTAGACGGCTAGAATAGGTTTTGCTTGAGATTAGCTCCCCAAAAGGTGAAATGGTTTCATTATACAGAAGGAGAGCCTGGAATAATCCCCAAATTTGAATAATTAAATAATTTCGTTGCTAAACTAATTCACATTATCTAAAGGATTTCGAATGTCTCCTTCCATTATTTTAAAATATATACGACTTGTTTCAGTTTTGTTTAACCGGTTTTACAATGTGCAAAATTTATTAGCTGATTTCACTAAAACTAATTTGTAGATAACTTATAGATGAATGATTTTATATTTCCATCGCTTGTTTTTGTAAATGCGCTTTGAGTTGCTGAATGAAATCATCCTCGACATTGTCATCATCCCAATTATCTTCCCACACGTTCACTTCATCTTGATCATCATCCGCAATATTGAAGTCTGCAAATATTTATTATATATATTTAGTTAATAATTTTAAGGGGCTTAAGGCACTAACCTTCGATTGGGAATTCCTCAAATTCGTCATCCTCTTCCAAAAGACCCAAATCAGCTTTGGCATTTTTATCTTTTTCCTTGTCTTTATCTGATGACATTTTATTAAAATACTTTGTAAAATTTAAATTAGACCAATCACAAATTGTTACAAATCCCACGAATAATTCAATGTGTTTGCATAAAAACAATGCCGAGTCATCTGTCAACTATATAACGAGTGAAATGTAACGAATAATTTATCCAATACTTGATAATGCCAGATCTCTTTAACGAAAAATTTCATTTCAAATATTTTTGTACACCGATAAGTGATAATTGTAAGTGTACAGTCGATGGAAAGATTTTGTAGGTTTAAAAATAAACATAAAACTAGTGCAATTCATAATCAAATAATTTTAGTTCTAAAATATTTTCTGCAATGTTGCAAATATTTATATAATGTTATTAGGGATGAGAAATTCTTTGGCGATTTATAGTCGAATATTTTTTCAATTTAAAATATTTATACTACTTCTAATATATGCTATTTGTTTTACATATAATGTTAATGTAAGTGATAGTGTTTATATTTGACTTCAAGCTAAATTAAGTATTTTAATTATAATATTGAAAACATGAGTGAGTCATAGAAAATAATTGAATCGATAGAGGAATTGCTGATATCAAAGTCACAACACTAACATTCCTTTTGTTTTGGTACAGAAATTTTAAGACGTCATTTAATGTTTTGTAAACAATTCGCAAGTGGCTAGGAAAATCGAAATAGAGTTGAAAGCAAAAAATATAAAATGCGAGTTGCAGGTGGCGATTTCATATATGTATATAATGTGAATTGCAATTTTTATTTGACTATGGGAATCATATAAATAAAATGCTAACAAGGCATTTAAATGTGTTAGGAACTATCGCTATTTCATTACGTTGTAATGTTGGTTTTCCATATGGAGGTATGCTAAGAAGAGACATTCGCTAGTCCACATAGTGAAATACAAATGTACATACATAATAAACTAAAGTTCCTTTACAATGGTGAAACGTCATAACATGTTTTCATTTAAAAGTTATGATTATTAATGGCAAAAGATATAATCTAACCTGCCATAAATACTATTTTCATATTGCGCAAATTTTATTCAAAGTGTTTACAAAATAGATATTTAAAAAAAAGCTATGAGTTACGACGATGTTAACATTAGCAACAAAGCAGTAACGAATAAAACAGAGTATATAACGAAAAAGAGGTGAAGCTCTAAATAGAGCAACGGGAAAAGTTGTTTGTCAACTTGTGGCGTCCCCCATTTTCATCAATAAAAGTGTTACTAGGTTGGTTCATTGTATCAATAATAATTTATAAAGATCTTTGAATTAAATAAAATATAATTGTGCAAATACAATGTCCACTGTGACTCGTAGTGCAAGTGCGAGCCCATCTGTTGGTCATTCTAATAATCAACAAAATCAGCATAACCCAACGGAGAGACAAAATTTTCCCCATTCAGTAGTTGATCCTAGTAATTTTCCCCTTAAATCTATAACCGATGTTGTCAATTTTTTTCGGAGATCACTTGAAGCGGGTTCCTCAGCAGGTGGAAGTGAACCCGATTTAACATTGCTTTCAATTGTTGCCGGTTATATCGAGCTTTCATTAACTACAGGCGACGCTGCATTAGCTGCGGAACATGCATTATCAAATGCGGCTTCGAATACCACTATATCTTCACCTCCACTTCTTGCAGCTGTTGTTGGCAGTCCTTTATCATCAGGTATTTTTTTTCGCTAATTTTGGAATATAAATATTTTATATACTAAATAGTTTCTTACTTAGCACAAAACTGTGGCATTATAAAAAGCAACAGTGTACCTTTTCCAGTTGTAACATACGAGCTTGTCTCAGGTTTATATAAGAAATTTCAAAGCATACTCTCTGTTGTTGATAAACCTAAATCAGCTCAAAATCGCCAAGCAACACGTGAAATCATCAAAAAAGTGTCTGATGTAATATGGCACTCATTAATAAGAAGCAGTTATAAAGATCGAGCTCATTTACAAAACTTATATAGTTATTTATCGGGCAATAAGTTGGACTGTTTTGGTGTAGCGCTAGCTGTTGTCGCTGGTTGTCAATTGTTAGGGTATCGTGACGTACATCTGGCTATATCTGAGGATCATGCTTGGGTTGTATTTGGCTCCAAGCAAATTGAATGTATCGAAGTGACGTGGCATGGCAAAGGAAGTGAAGATAAACGCGGACAGGACATAACAGCCGGCATAGAATCTGGTTCGTGGTTGTATCTCAGTGGAGTGCCAGTTGTATGTGATAGAGCTATGGAAGTTGCTGCTGTTGTATCAGCTATAAATATATCAATGACAACTAATAGCGATTGCGTTGAAGTTGCAGATATGCAACAAAAATTACTTTGGCTATTGTATGATATGGGTCATTTAACAAAGTACCCTATGGCATTGGGTAAGTTATTTTCTATTTAATCGAAAGTATGCGCATATACATACGTTAAATTAGCTTGTACAAACATACAAAATATCGAATGAAAATAAATTTTAGTATATATTAATCTAGCGATAGTAAAGAGTAAGTAATATTTAGATATACGCGTTGCTATATATTATTTGCTAGTGTTTTGCGGCCTAGCTATAATGCGTACACTTCATTTTGTATACCAATTTGCGGTTTTTATACTATTTATAAAACTATTTTATTTTCAGGAACACTTGGTGAATTAGAAGAAATCTCTCCCTCACCTAAACGAATATCTTGTGAACAACTTTATAAGGAGGCAATACAGTCAGCACGCACATTCTACCACAATCATCACGTTTACCCTTACACTTATCAGGTATGGAGAATTATATTAAAAAGTTGAACCATTCATGAATTGTTTAATCCATTTAAATTATATACTACATATGTGCTCATGCGTTTTAGGGAAATTTTTATAATCGACTTTTGAAATATCGTGAAGCGTTTGCTTCTTGGGCCAATGCGGCGGATGTCATACGCTTATATACATACAGTTGTCGCGATGATGAGGAAATATATAAAGAACTTTTGGATATTGCAAACGAGATGATACCACATGTTATGAAGACAGAAAGTTCGGGTCATTCTGCAAGAAGCATTCTACGCGATTCTGAAGTATTTGCAAATTTATTGCGATTCTATGATGGGATTTGTCAGTGGGAGGAAGATAGTTTAACACCAATACTACATATTGGCTGGGCTAAACCGCTAGTAAACAATATAACAAAATTCGATTATGACATAAGATCACAAGTAGTAATTAAAGTCCCGGAAGATGAAGAAATTGCATCTACAAAAAAATCAAGTGAAGCAACAACTTCCTCATTAAAGGAAGATACAACAGCTAATGAGGCGCCGAAATTGGAAAGGAAACATGTAATTGTGGATGTAAAGAAAGATGAAACAAATAACTGTAATATCAATAATAATAATTTCAAGAAGGAAGAGGTAAGCGTTGGTAGCACATTTTGTTTACATTTTCGCTATTAATTTCCAATATAAATTTCAGAAGTCTTCGGGGGATGTGAAAAAAGCCGATATTACAGCCACATTAGCAGATTTAACTGCCGCGTGTGGTGAGAAAATCTTAAATCCAGATTTTTTATTACAGGGAGGAGGCGAGCCTTTTGCTGAACAAAAGAAACACATGGAACAGCGACAGAATGTCTGTAAAAATGATTCAACAAATGGCATAAAAAATGTGCCGAATAAAGATACTCTTGTCACAAATGTCGTCCAAATGGATATATCAAACACCAATACTAAGTCGTTGCAAGGAAATGAAAAAGAATCATGCGCAGAGATAAAAACACACTCACCTACCGATGAGGATCCCTTCGAGTTTATGATGAAACGTCCGGTAATTACACTTTATAGTCAGAAAATGAAGGGTCTGAAAGACCTGTTGTTGGCCGAAAAATTAAACACTCATGCAATTTCGCTGCAAGTTACCGCCCAATCTGTGGCGAGCAAAAAGATACGAGGAATTGATAAGCTGGGTAATCACACGACAACTTCAACGTACGCCACAGCTCATGTACCAGGCAATAATTTGCAATCACTTCATACAAATTATAATGCAGTTTTAAGCGATAGCAATACCAATTCAAATGATAATGGTAGCGCTGCTACTACAATTGCTGCTTCACGCCCTAAGCGCTCGCGACGCGAATAAATATTTTGGCAGAGGTAAGCACACTAAAAATGCTGTAAGGAAGCTTCTTCTTCTATATGTATATGTATGTGTATATAGATGCTGGCTATGATAGGGTTTTATAAATATTTATACCTATTTTTTGTATTTTTAATTTTCATAACATTTCCACATGAGTCGTGCTTTAGCAAAAATTTTTCCAATTTTATATAATACATATGTATGTAATCAGATATGAAAATCATAGAGCATTTATTCGTTGAAAACTTTCGTTGATTATATAGATCTTCGGCGCATTTAACCTTCTTTGTAAAATGTTTTTGATTTTGAACCCTTTATCACTGATCATTTGAGATGCTCAAATAGGCCAATCCCGGTATTGGGACTAATACTATTATATTTCTGGTATATAAGAATATTTTCTTCTTTAGAGATGAATAATACGGAAAAATAGTTGGAATAAAGTTGACAGTAACAACGCAACCACAGAACGATCGTTTTCGACTTAAAGGAGACCCAAAAGTTATCTTAGGAATACGAAATACAAAATTATTAATTTTCGTGTATCAAACCCGGAAACTTTCCGCCACTGTTGTTGCCACTATTCGCCAAAATTGAAATTTTGGATTATAAAACTTGATTATATTTTCATAATATTTTTTTTATGGAAAAGTTTTTGCAAGTACGTCTTTGTCATTTATATCTTCTTTTCAATCTTAGAAAATATTTTAAATAAAGATTTAATACAAGCCATCTTCGATTGGCCCAAACTTGGAGAATGACAAATCGAACACACTACTAGCATAAATCAAATAGACTGACATAAGGAAATAGGGTTAAAATAGAGAGATGTTCTACTCTCTTATAATGAATTGATTTGGTTAACTTTGTTGTTGCTTTGACATGTAAATTTGAGAGCATAGCTCAGAACATTACGAACACAGAAGTGGCGACTAATTTTTTTACTACTATTTACCGAACCAAATAGTTAGATCGCCGAAAAATCAACATATGGCCGGATAAAATCTGTGTCAATTCCGGTATCTGGTAGAACTTAGAAGAGAAGTGACAAATCGAAGACGGCTAATGTATACATACATATGAAAATATGTGCAGCACAAGAGCATTATACTTAATATATTTTAGTTTAATTGATAAAACTATTTATTATGTTTTTATAGCATATAGTTCCATGAAAAAAATGGTAATGCCAAAAAGTTGCTTATAAAAATTACAATGAAAGCAATTATTTTAACGAAATATGAAATGCATACAAAAATATACTTGAATAACTTAAAGTATATTAGTTTAGTATTAAGTATATTCTGCAAATTTTATGTTAAAAATGTATGTAAAGATAATATAGAGAATATACTATTCAATAGTTGCACTTTTCCTGTCTCATGTGATATGCTTTTCTAAAAGCGTTTGTAATCAAACTATAATCATGTATATAAATATATAAGTACATATATACGCACACAACCGCAGTCCTAATAGTATAATATTCTCCAATATACATACATATTGTACAACAGTGTAGCATGATTATACTTTCCCATTATTTAATTTTCCAATAAATCACTTATTCTATTTTGTATGTCTGTTGATTTATTAGCGTCTTTTATGTTATTCTTGTTTTTCAAAATAATATATAAAATATTTTGTAATCACTTAAGACATCCTTATAAACAGGCTTATAGCATAGATTTATACAACTTACTTTTACAAAACACTTCAAGTTTACCATAATGCATTCAAGTCTTGTGTATGGGCAAAAAATAATAATAAATAGTCAGACAAAATCACAAGTACTCGGTACATACTCGGTACACTTAAGGCATGGCTATGAGTTGTCAATAATGATAATAAGAAATGAATTTTAATGAAAGTCTGTGATGAAAGAAACGATTAAAATAATGATGAAAATCAATTTATCCTAATATTAAGTGCATAAAATTCGCAAAGTAATAATGTTAAAATAAAAATGAGTATAAAAACTATGTTTAATAGAAAGTTACGTTTTGCAATAATCTACAATACTTACAAGCATGTTTGTTTAAATATCTACCTTAGTAGATTATTAAAGGTATTAAACAATGTACATACATATACATTTAAATGTTAAATGTTACAAATTACTAAATTATATAATAATGAAAAAAAAAATCAATATTAATATTATATTGTGATTTCTCAATTAAATTTAAAACACATTTACCACAAAAATCTTTATATACCAGGTTGTTTGTTGTTTAACAAGTTGATTTTTGTTTTTGCAAACGCGCCCTTAAGTTTCAGTTTTTGTCCTAAGAAATAGAAACTTTCTGTGACCAATAAATAAAACTTTTGAAATAACTCCTATTTTTTTTGGGAAAAACATGAAAATAAAAATATAACGCTTATTTTGTGAGGTTAAAGTTATACGCAGTTAAAGTTATGCATCAAATGTACTGTATTCATACAGTACACCATGTCGTATGAGCAACACAAAATGTAACATGTAAATCACTAATATGAATGCTCAATTCATTTCATGCAACTTTGACTGTGTGTAGTTTTTTAAGAAATTTTTTTTATTAAAATATCAGTTTTTCAAAGTTGGGGGCGCTTGAAAAAAATCAACTTGTGAAATAACGGGCACTCTAAAATACATAATATATACACAATTACATATATAAGTATATGTATAATTAAGTACAATGTTGTAAAATCAACAAAAAAATTAAATTAGTAACTCCTATACATATACATACACGTACACATTTTATTAAAATTCTGTAACACATAAAAACGTATACAATAAATATGTATTAACAATTTCGGCTTAAAAATGAAAATATATGTACCATGGGAGGTGAAGGTAGGTGGGAGAAATGCTTAATGAGCGCCAAAACTAAAGCACCTAACTTAATATACATATGTATATCTACCGCACGAAATATAGAATTCAAAAAGTTATCAAAATATTTATTTCTGTGTTAATAAGAAGCGTGAATTGAGCCTCAAAATTTGCAATGGGAGTTACTTGTATTTAACGTTCACTCCAATTTGGAGTATCGCTGCTATAAAAAAATTTTGAGAATATGTATGTACATAATTTACCATATTATTTTTATACATAACAGATATTGTGCGTGCTTTAGTTCTGGAGCATGTAATGAGGAAATATTGATTTCTGTGACAGATCGCGCTCTTAAAAAACGTTTCGTTTCTTTCAACTATAACGCCACAATTTTCTTTATAATTGTTCACACAAAATTTTACTGTATGCTGCTGATAATCCTGTCAAAACTATGCATAAATCAACGACAAGCTGAAAGCTAGTAAATATATGAAAAAAATTTGTAATATTTTTTTTACATTTATTTGTAATAATTTTTTATTTATTATTATTTATTTCTAATTTCACCGGACTATAAAAATCCTCGAGAATGTGTACTCGATAGGTTAATCGAGATATTAGTATTTAAAAATTATTACTGCTATTTGAAATATGTATGACTTTCACAAAAGTTTCTTTAGAGCAAAAAACATACCATATGCATACATACCACGTAAAAATGCTATAGAAAAATTAGTAACTGCGAGCTAAAATATTCAAAATTACAGACTTTCAGTAACCAAAACAGCAAAAATTAAAAAAAAAAAACACAAATGTGAAATAAAATATAAAACTCGCCAAAGGTAATGAATTGTCTTTTTTTTATTAATTATTTATTTGTCTTTATTATTAAAAAATTTATTAAAAGTATATTAGTATAGCCCTCAATATACATACGTACACACATATACTGTCCCCAGCTGCAAAAACAATAACAAACGATACAAATTTCCTATTCAAATCAGTTCTCGTCGAATGTACTACACGACGGCTTAAATTAGATGATAATCAGAAGCAACCAATACATTTAAAACAATATGTAATATTAGTTTACCATTGCAAGTAGAAACACCCAAAATAGTACTGTATAATTGTTCAACAATATCTGCTCTAAATGTTTAAATTTAAAAAATAAAATATTGAATTGACCCTGCGACTATTTATTAGAATAAATGCAAGGTAAGATAAGGAAATTTCATATTTTTTGCAAAAATAATTGAAGTTTTTGTTCTTCTAATCAATAGGCCTGCTCATAAATCGCTTAGTTTTGATTTGAACAACTATAATGTGGAAGTCGAAAATATAGTAAGACGAAATGCGATACAACAGTTAAATCAACAATGCACAGTAGGCTAAACCTCTTCCACTAATTTGTGACCAACTTTTTAACATCAACTCTCATTAAAAAAATTTAATTATTTACACAATTAATTTAACAGTATTTAAATTTTTTATTTGCGTTTTTTCTATAAATATTGTTTATATATGTATATATGTAGTAAAATAAATACGAAATCCCGAATTCAGCTTGATGATGAATTTTCCAAACGAAAATATGCAGAAATCTGTAAGGGAAAATTAAAAACATATTCATTAATAAATGAAAACGGTAATAGGTATAAAATAATAATAAATACATCAGTGTATTGGTTAATTATCAAGTGTCTTCAGCAATTATGTTTATGAAGACCGTCATGATTTTATCATCATTGAGAGAAATAATTTAGAAACAAAATTTTGTTACTCACCTATAATAAAGTTTTCAGACAGACGTCTCTCAACCAATTGGCAAGCGTTGACTATTAGTAAATGTGTGATACAGTGATATTACTGAAATATTGGATTAAAAATATTACTGAAATATTTGTATTAAAAAGCACAATTCAGAACATACTTACATCGTTAATGTACTAACAATGCTCAATTAGTTGAAAGTTATAGTATAAATTACAAATGTATATATTATTAAAAAGCAAAAAAAAATTTTTTAGATTTACTTATTTATTTGAAAAGCATCAAGTTAAAAATATTAGAACTTAAAACTTCTTAAAGCTCTTTTTGGAGCCCTGTCCCTTGGTGACTTTGAGAACGTTGAAACGCACCGTCTTCGAGAGTGGACGACATTCGCCAATGGTAACAATATCGCCGGCTTCCACATCCCTAAATAAAACAAAAATATTGCTTTAATAGTTGATTCCAAAATAGTTGTATCAATTAAGTTTAGTGCATGTAGCATGTCAGTATATTTTATATAGTCAAGTTTTTTCAGCAATTATGTTTATGAAGACCGTCATGATTTTATCATCATTCGCTTTCAATTGCATTTAGAGATTATTATTTTTTTTTTATATAATTACCTGAAGCACGGTGAGCAATGTACACTCATATTTCTGTGTCTCTTTTCAAAACGGCTGTATTTGCGCACAAAGTGCAAATAATCACGGCGAATAACAATTGTACGTTGCATCTTGCATTTGCGGACGGCGCCTGTCAGAATACGTCCACGAATACGAACATTGCCGGTGAATGGACATTTCTTGTCAATGTAGGTACCATCAATGGCCTATATAAATAAATAAATAAAAAAAAACTATTAGTTTTCACAATACAAATATTTCTTCAAAGTTGCGGACAACATGCAATGCAATGTGGATTAACTTACTTCACGGGGTGTTTTGAAACCCAAGCCAATATCACGGTAGCGACGGAGAACCTTCTTCTTCGTCACTCCAGGCTTGAGTTTTCTGTTTAGGTTGATGCCAAATTGTTTTTGGAACGCTCTTTCGTTCTTTATTGTTAGTATTTTTTTTTTGGTTCACAATTATTGTTTAACATCCAGCAGGAACAAAATACACATTAGGTGGGAGGGTGACATGCAAATAAAAAAGAACACATTAATCTTCTGGTATTTTACCTCAGCAGGAGTTTTAAATCCTAGACCTATATTTCGGTACAATCGTAACTTCTTTTTCGCATTAGGCGATTTCCGTCTGACAACTGGTATAGAAAATTGCTTGCTAAAGGATCGTTCTGTTTGCTGTTGTAACACAATGCGATATTGTAAAAATTAACAAGAATAGAACTTGAATTATTACACGAAATTTAACATATTTCCAAATTTTTATAAAACGTGTAAAAGACAAATTGACATCCAATAATTGTCAAGCAGCAACCACATGGTGTTCGAATTTTTACAACATATCTGCTCGGACAGTCACAATTCTATTAGCAATTCATGATTTTACACTCACTTAAAATTTTAGACCATGTACCTTTAGATTTTAACTAATTTGTTTGGAATTAAAGTAAAAATTTTAGCACAACACTTCGCGTCTTACCTGATCAGCCATCTTGGTGTAAAAGAAAAGAACGAGAGGAAGTCGCTTCAACGAGTAAGAGCTATCGAGTTTACTCGTTCAAAATGCTCGTTGGGTTCGACAGTTATTGTTCATTTTACCTGAATCAAAAGTTAAATTACCATATCGCTTCACTCTAAAAAATTAAAATATTTTCCCAAATGTTAATTAATAAATATTTCTAGTAATATCTTATAACAAACAACTTTATTTAAGTAATATATTTAAATTAAACTCAAGAGGATGAGCAGGCCTTAATAGTCAATGTGAAAAATAATGATTTTTGATATCTTATTACTTAAGTAATCCATCACGTTCAGTTTTCTTGATGTATAATTGAAGATTTTTTTAATTCATTAGAAAATGTATTAAACATTAGTCAATTTTTCAGTATTTTTAGTTTAATTATTTTAAATTTATATTATATTTAAATTTATATATTTTTTATTTATTAAAATCTTTTTATTGACACCCCAACGAAATACTGATAATTACACGATTACACCAAGTACAGCATAAACAAACCGTTGGTTTATTCAGCTCTATTTCCGGAGCAATTCTCATATATTGATTAATCTTGATACCGCTTAGGAAAAACTTTTTCCTTTAGTATCAAGAGGATATTCCCACGGCAGCCGGGTCTACGTAACCGTAACGGACCCGGATTTTTCATCCGGTGAAGGACAGCCAACTTGGCAGAATTCTGCCACTACAACAACAACTAGCAAGAAGAAGAAAAACAGAGCAGTTAATATGTGTATTAATTGGTGGTGGTTGGTCACTGAAAATAATAAATATAAACAACTGATTTGAAATTTTTACCGTTTCTCAAAATATTCGTTGGAAATATGTTTATCCGAACTCCGCTCTTTAGCTACCGGAACATATTAAAGCTCAACTAGTTTACTGTCTTACCTTTGAGGTTATGTAAATTACTTATCACTCCAATTAATAAACTGTTGAAAATCTTATTATTAATATATTTATTATTATTATATATAACAACGTTCTATGCTATTTGAAATTAGATACATGGATTAAGTTTAATTCTTTGGTATGTCTTTATTGGTCAAAATGTATATTTACACATATTTAATATTCTTTATTGAATTAGTGAAAAGCGATAATCAAAATAAATAAATATACGAATTAATGAAATCGATGTTTATTAGGCTTGATTTTTCCTAACAAAAAAGTTAGCGTAATACGTTTATTCGATATTAAAATTTAGCTAAGTGATATAACCATTATTGTGTCTTCTTAACTGCTGCTGTCACAGTGGTTGTTATTTGTTTAGTTTTCTTCAGTGGATTTTCCACACATTCTTTATAAAGTTGGTTAAGACCGAATGCGGCTCTTATATTATCGGCTGAAAAGAAGAATTTTTGTAATTTTCCTCTGGAATCTCCGCAAGGTCGTCGTTCCTCCTCTTTTCCGTCTTTAAATAGTATGACAGTTGGTAATTGTCGTGAAAAGCTGCTATCAGAAATGCGATATTTCTGCGCAACATCTGGGAATCGACCAATGTCAACTTTACCAAACTTCAAATTTTCCAAATTATATTCTCCAGAAAGTTCAGCAAAAATTGGGGCAAAATTCACACAGCTCGGATTCCACACTGTGTAGAAACAGATGATCCAGTGGATTCGCTTATCCCGAACCAATTCTTCTTCAAATGTTTGCATGTTGCGAAAGTAGGTGATATGTTCAGGACCACGATACGATGGCTCTGGTAATACAGTGCTCACTAGGATGCATACTAATAAGAATGCTAAACCGTATCTAAAATCACTGTAAGCCCAAAGTATAACATTGGCCACTTTTGTGTACAGGAACGATGCGGATAGATAATTGACCATGGTTACACTTCCAGTTTTACGTGATCTTATCATAACCACAATTAGCAGAAAAAATAAGATTTCTGTTTCGCGGCTATCCAATTCGCACATTTCCTCGCCCCGATGGTGGAATAGCCTTGTACATAATGGGTAGAGTTTCTTAGCGACTACGTAAGAAATTGAAAGGACAATATTCATCCAGTAATACGGTTTAGAAAGTTCACGTAACTGTTTTTGTAACGACATTTTGTGTTAAATTCACAAATTAGTATGCTTGTCACAAATTAGTGTATTAATTAATAGCATCCGTCGTTTCACACAAAAGAATTCTTTGACATATTTTTCTTTCTACCATTACCACCCTCTTGAAGTATTTTCGTTCAACATTTAGCAACCTTGCCACCTACTAGACAGAAAAATAAATAAAATTTAAAATACTGGGAGCACATTTTGTGATGATATGGGAAATAAAATACTTTTTAAGAACTATTGTATAACTTTTCAATATTTAAAAAAAAAATACTTAATACATTATAAAATAAATACTCTTTGGTCTACTTGCGAATAACCTTATAACAATGGTGACTGCAGAGATCTATTTGATGTGCCGAACACAATGAGCGCGACAGACTGCAGCAGCAAGACAGTGAACTGAAAATGGCGTTGTGAATTCTTCTACATAAACATTTGTGAGAAGGCAGCAACATAACAATGGCCGCCATGTACACAAGACAACACAGCTGTCCATTTTGCACGTACACAATTTCGTTGTGGCCATACTAATACCTTGCACTTCAATGAAATTTTGATATTTTGTTCAAACTGAAATTGTTTATGCAAAAAATAAGTAAATAGGTAAATTTTTTTTTTTAATTATCAATTGTTATTACAAATGATATAATACAGCTATTTTATGTTTTTATTTGTAAAGTAATGTCAGGTTTGTTAGAGCTTTGAAAAATTTTACATTTTACATATTAGTGGCACAACCACTCTATCTCATCTCTCTACTGTCGTCCTACTGTCGTTGGCAAATATAAAAATATATTGAAGTTAGCGAGAGCGACAACTGTCGCTCTGCAGCCGTCTAGTCCGGCAGATGTCAAAACAACTATGTCCTTAAGAACGTGTGTATATTAATTTTTGACAGCTGTCGTTTGCAGTCTGTCGCGCTCATTGTGTTCAGCACATCAACACACATGAACACAATATGCCAAAATTGACATTTTGTTTTCCTTTGTGATAAAAAGTCTAAATATTCATAATGTCTTTTTATTTGGGTAAAATCGGTTGAAATAGGGATTGTTGTTATAAAAATTGGTGCGTCTTTTTTTATTAATTTGAAATTTGGAGCTAAAAAATTGGAAATGCCTGCAATTCGTCGACGTCATGGATCCTATGGGAGCATTCATGATTCAGAAAGTGAGGGTGGCAGAGACGATGTGGATAGCCTTAACTATGAGTTTCAAGATGGTGAACTTTTTTTTGGTTCTGATCAAAAATTACCATGGAAAACGATATTCTTTGTGATGTTTTTTCTGATTGTTGGAACGGTAAGTTTTGCACTGAAGTCGTTTCTTAAATAATTATTACTGCGATTTTTAAAGGTTTGCTTGACGACTGCAGGACTAATTTTCACAGAAGTTATAGATCAAACATATGTTGATCGAGCATCTCCGTTGCTTATTCTTGGCTCGCTAATGATTATACCGGGCGGTTACTATGGCTACATATTGATGTCAATCTTAGCAAAACGCGAAGGATTTTCATGGGATGATATACCGGAAATTTAGAGCCAAAGATAAGGTGCAAATTCTTACAAATTAGAAACATTTAGAAAACTTCCATCTAATTTATTTGAAATATAGTTGAAATAGTTTGAACATGACTACACTATCGAATAAAATATCATAGTACGGAAATTTGAAACCAAAGATAAGATGCCAATTCTAACAAAATAGCAACATTTGAAGATACTATATGCACAACACTATTAAAAAAATTGTAGACTAATTCTGCAAACCATTGCCTCTCCACCAGCGGTCTTATAGTTAAAGCATTTATATAAACTGACTGATAACTAACTGAACTCTAATACTTATGTGATTTTTATTTCATACATAATTATATATTTGTAAAAACAACTAATAATATACATATATGTATGTGAGTATATAATTAAGTACCTTATAAGCGAATACTTACTGCAATTATAAATATGACTGAGATATATATTATAATAAAAAAATATGAATATCAAAAGACATTTTTGTCTTCATAGGAAAAATAAAAAGGTTGCAAAATTTCAGATCAATATCTCAAAAACTGAGGCGTTTTAGCTGCTTACGTTGATAATTTATATACATATATATATTGAAGAGACTGACGTCTCTTTCTAGATGTGAAAAACTTAATACACCCTGTTCACGGTATAAAAAATATTATAAATTGTTCGAACGTACACGTTTATTTAAACTCCAAACCCGGTAAAATTTTTAATTTATTTTTTAATATATCCAATCATCCAATTCAATATCCAATGTTAGAAATTTAATGGATATTATTCCTTCTTTTTAGGGGAATTGAGTATTCGGCCTTATAACTTCTCCGAATAATTTCGGCTGAATTTGACAATTAGTTGTTAACGTCATCTGTCAATGCATTATATTTTTCTTCCTCTTATTTTTATGCTCCGCCGGTAAAGTGCATTTATTTGGATTATTTGCAACGTAGCTTGGTTTCAGTGAAATTTGTGAATAGAAAATTTTATATAAACATGTCCTCAAGTCAATGGGAAGTAGTTACGAAATCCAAAAAAGCTAGAAATCTAGATAAGAAGGTGGAAGCTCATACAGAAAAAAAACGACAGGCGGCCTTACTTCCAAAACTAGAAGAAATTTGTAAGCATTCTTATCTATGGATAATAAAATATAAATCGTCATAAAATATATTTTTTAGTGCCTTCGCATGAATATCGAACTCTATTGTCTGGTAAAAGAGGAAAAGAGAATCATTCACCAGCGAAGTCTGTCAGCTCTTCAACAAAATCGAAATCGTCTCCCATTAAGAAAAATGCCAATAATTCGAAAGATAAAACAGCTAAAAAGGAACAATCATCTCAGCAACAGGCAAAGTCTAAATCAACAGTCTCCAAACCTAAAAGTTTAGAATCTGCTATGCGAAATATTGAAGCCAATGATTTCGCCACTAAACTTGAACAATTAAAAATTGTTTATCCTGGCTCCGAATTGCTTTGGCTAAAAGGCGTAAAGTTTGAATTTTCAAAATAAGTACATATTTCAAATTAATAATGATTTTAATCATATAGGTTGCAAGCTTTTTTAACGAAAAACTACCCTTCGATTGTGATCCTATTTTCTCAGGAAAATCGATTTACTATCCTAGTAATTTGGCAAGCACTGCACTTAACAATGCTATTGTCGATTTTTTGGAATCAGTAGGTGAAGAGAATTTGTCATATTTTTATCATACTTTGCTAATAAATATGACTATGGATCTCTCCAAAAATATGCCAATTGTGGGTTATAAGGTATTTGTAATTTTACATATTAGTATTTTGCTTTTAATAAGGTGTATGGTTTCAGTTTATACTTCAATTAATTAGTCAACATTGGCCACATGTTGCTTCAAATAACATGGCGAAAATTGCTTTGTTGCGTAACTCTTATCAAAATAGAAGCAACATTTGCCTAAGCATACTTTGGGCAATTGGTCAAGGTGGTTATAAAGAAATAACAGAAGGCATTAAAGGTACTTCAAATTATTTATCACCCTACACTTGTAGAGTTTTATTCTATGCGTTATTTTCTTAAAATTGCAGTGTGGCAAAACCTAATGTTACCCAATCTGGAATTAAAGAGCTATACAAAATTTGTGGCGGAATATTTAGAAAAAGTTTTGTCTGCAGCCAAAGAAGAGTATGTAATTGTAAACTAATTTAATAGATATAATATATTTAATTTTTCAGCTGCACAATAACTTTGAACCAAAACGAGTTCTTCTCGTTCTACAATGCTTTAAAAACACACTACCCCATTCCAAAAGAAACTCAAGAGACTCTTGGAAAATGTGCTCATGGTTTTTTGGTAACTAAGAAAAATGCAAAAAAGTAAAATAATATCTAAAATCGGTAACTATTAATTTTCTTTCCACAGATCAAATACATTTTATCTAGCAGTAAGCATTCGAACATATTTGTGACGCTCTTTCGTAATATTGACGATTTCAAAAGGAGTCGTAGTGAGTTGGAGGGTTGCTTTTGCTGTCTTGTGCATGGTGAAGATAGTTTTAAAGTATGGAAGATGAATTATAAGAAGCAGTTGATGTCCTCCCTACTGCTCTTTAAAGAAATCGGTAAGATATTTATAAACAACGTAAGGTAAAAAAAAAAAAAAAAAAAATGTTAACTTCGGCTACATCGAAGCTTTAATATCCTCCACAGGTGTAGTTCTTATAGCATTAAAGGGTATAGAAGCATATTAATTTTTATTTTTTTCTATACATTTTTGTTTTATAGTTAACTTTTTTTCTTATTTATTTATAGAAAAACAATTGGATAAGGCTGATATTGATATGCTAAAGCTAGCATGTTCTAACACATTCCAGGCTTTCCTAGACGAAGCTCAGAGACTGAATGAAGAATTGAGTTTAGCCAAGCGAAAAGACCCAAATTTAGAAGATTTGATAGCTATTGTAGAGGTATGTATATGACTTTGTAATTAACACTAATAGTGTTAATTTTTTTGTTAAGTTTAAAAATTTCAATTATAATTTTAATACGGCGAACCAAAACTATGCTCTCTTGCTGTCTGTATGTATGTAGTGGTTTCTAATCACAAGTATAAAGTTTTTGGTTTATTTTTTGTTTTTTCTTAGTTTAAAATTTGAAACCCATCAATGAAAATTGTTAGTATTTTTGAAAATGTTTCCACAGTTTAGGTTCTTATAGCAATTACTCTCCTTACCAAAAGTTAAAATATTGTTCATTGCTAGCGTTTAAGGTCGACATCGAGATACCCATCGGGTAGAGCAATAAATAAAGTGTTGCTTAGCATCAACAGGTTGTCTTCAGCGGTTTTAATAGCTACTTGAGAGGTTAGGTGTAGTCAGAGAGAAAAAATTACAATTTTAAATATTTTTTTTTGTTTGTAAATTATAATTTTTTTTTTATAAAAGTGAAAACATAGAATACTCGTATTTAATAAAGTATCGACTTGAATGGACAGAAATAAAAACAATAATGATTTAAAAGTAATGTTTCTATGCGAACACCATCACTAATCCCAATCCATTAATACAGAGCGCCCGGCAACGCTATTTTAATTATCGAATAACTCGGGGAAAAATATTTGTCCGATTTAGTTAAAATTTTCAGAGAATATTTCTAAAAATTATAGTTTCAGAACATGCAAGATATTAATTTATTTTTTGAAAGTTCTGACTACCCCTAACCCTTTTGAATATCCACTGAGAGTACGACAGACAATTTATTCTAATTTTAATTTTACTATTCAAAATCGTGAAGTTAAGAATAAATTTGTTAGCAAAATCACAATATAATAATAATAATATACTAGCGTTCTGCTGTAATATGTTAACAATTCATATGCTAAATAGTATTATTTGACTTTTATTACCATTTTGCTAAGTACTATATTTTATATACATATACAATATTATTTAATGTAATATAATTATTATTTTTTTGGTTAATTAAAGTGAAAGATTTTGTGAATTTTGAGTCTTTGAAACATTTTGTAGACAAAAATTCATTTGCTTCACCGATTCACCGATCTGGCAACTATGCCCACATATTAGGAAAAGGAAAGGCGAGTTCATTTCCAATTAGTCCGAAGTTGGGGAGAGGAATGATCAGTGTGTGCACAACGCCGATAGTGATTTACTTAGTGCATATTAGTAAATTTTAACAGTGAAATAGTAAAAATAAATTAGCAACTTGATAAATTATTTACATAAAAAGTATATCTACACGAATTTGTACTTTTCAAATAATTAATTCATATGTTTCTATATATACACAAGCTAAAAAGGTGGTTGAAAAATCGATTAGCGAATTACAATTGAAAATGTATACGTTCACAGGAAAGGGGAGGATATGAATATTTTAATATGTGCATATTTCCTTTTCTACCAAAATGTGATACATTTTATGCTATTTAAATATTTACTAATAAATATAAAAAAATGCTTGACGTAAATATTATTAATAATAATGAAGAAGATTAAAAAGGCATACAAATATTAAATCTTTCTGAGTTAGTAAAATGCAAATGGAGTAATGTAAGAACCTAGTGGACGATGCGCTGAAAGTGTGCGACGTGGAATTGTTTTTTTTAGGAGAGTGAGAGAGAGCTGGATGAATTTCTTGATAGCAGCAACTGTGTGTATATACATATTCCCATTTTTCAAGCTGGGTAGTTTCTACTCTCGGGTGCAAGGTCTGCGACAACAATGCATAGATTTCAATGCTCTTGTACACAATTAAATACCTACATAATTTGAAGAATAAAATATTTTTTTTTTTTACTTATAACTTTGAGAGTTTACTAACATTTTCTAAAGTGGTTTGCTTTTCGTATGCTGCGTCTACTTTCTACCTGTGCGCACTGTTCATCTCTACCTAATTTGGTAACCTTTTCATATCTATACATATACCGGCTTCATTGTTTACACGTGGCTGTTATAAATTGATTAACGGAAATATCTAGCATGGCATTTAGCCACTAAAATAAATATTAACTTTAGATAATGTAATTTGTTTAGGGAAAATTAATAGCAAGCATTGTGCCAGGCATTTTATTAGAAATATCTGTTGCTGCAGAACTTAGCGTTTGATTATTTTATAGATTTCGTTTTATCTTCACACTATAAGTAGCTTATACAGGCCTCTTGAGGGGTTATTCACCTTTATTTACCTACTTTTAGTTAGTTTCTTTAATAATATAATATGC